TCTTCAATGCAGTTTGCCCGAGATTACTCCTCTCAACCTACTTCAGTCTCTGGCACGCGATCTGTTTGCATAGGCACTCAACAAAGTCCAGTCTTTTCCAGTATGCCAAATCAAGCCTTTATAGCTTAGACACAAACTCAAAGTCACTCTCCTACAGTTATCAACTACATTGCCTCTCATACTACAGTTCAGGATGCTACCTGATACATGGATTCAACTGCAACGAATCATGTAACCTAAGATTTGTTTCAGCTAACAACTAATTCTACCTACATTGGTGGTGAGCAGCTCCAAGTTGGCAATGATAAGTTACTGTCCATTTCTCATACTGGTTTAGCTGTTTTATCCTATCATAATAGAACCTTATACTTTAGGAATGTTTTGTATGTGCCTAAAATTACCAAAAATTTACTGAGTATATCTAAACTGACTAGAGACAATAATGTACTTGTTGAGTTTTATATTGATCATTGTCTGATTAAGGACAAATCCTCCAAGGCAATCCTTCATCAAGGAGTGCTTAAAGATGGACTGTATCGACTTCAGATTCCAACCTGTTCCTCTCCTTGTTCTACTAGAATTTCAGTCAACTCCTTCAATTCCAAGCTCTGCAATAATTATGTAGCTTGTTTTCCTGCCTTTAATAATAAGCATGTTAGTACCCTTGTTTTGAATCAATCAATGTTGTCATATGTTTCTAATAAGTGTACACCAAATTGTATCTCTTCTGGTGACCACTCTTATATTCCTTGTAATAATTTCTTCATGTCTAGCCCTATATACTCAACTGATGCAAATTCTGTTATCAATAAAATGCACACTTTTCAGTCTTTTCCTACATGCAAAACTGACATTATGTTGTGGCACCAAAGACTAGGGTATCCTAACATGAATGAATTGACAAAAATATTGAATGAACTGCACATTCCTCATTCATCCTTGTCCATACTCACCAACAAAATGGTAGAGTGGAAAGGAAGCATCATAGAGCAAGGTCTGACACTTCTTGCACAAGCCTATATGCCCCTCAAATTTTGGTGTCATGCTTTTCAAACTGCCACTTATCTCACTAATAGACTTCCCACACCAATGTTATCCAATTCGTCTCCATTTCAGAAATTGTTTCATGTTGTGCCTAATTACTCCTTTATCAAAGTCTTTGGTTGTGCTGTATATCCTTTTCTTAGACCATACAATTCTAACTAGTTTAATTTCCATACAAAAAAGTGCACTTTTATTGGTTACAGTTTGCATCATAAAGGTTATAATTGTCTTGATTCCAATGGTCAAATTTACATTTGTCAAAGTGTCAAGTTTGATGAATTAGACTTTCCCTTTAAAACTTATGTTTCTCCTAACATGAATTCATCCCCTTTACATTCTTCACTACTTGTTGAAACTTCTTTAGTGTCTCCTACTTCTTCATCTTGGTACATTCATGCCCCTCGTTTCTCTTCTTCTCAAAATCAATTTCCATGTACCTCACGTCCATAAAACAGATTTGTTTCATCTTTTCCTTGTTCATCCACAAATGATCAATTGAATTCTCTCGGCAAGTCTCCATCTAGTCCATACACACCGACATCTTCACCAACACATACTATACTCCCTGGTTCAAGTTCCATAACATCTCCACTATCTCCTGTCACCATACCTTTTGGTGAATCCTACCCTACTGTTCTTTTGGAAATTCATTTACCTTGTGTTGTTGAAACTCCTCCAACCTTAAATACTCATCCTATTGTCACCAAGTCTAAAGCCAAGGCACATAACACTGTTTTAGTTATGTTCTCCTCTCTTGATAATAAGGAACCAATTACTGCCTCTAAAGCTCTTTCCCATCCATCCTATAAGGATATCATGCAAGCTAAATATGATGCTTTGTTGACTAATCAAACTTGGGCACTGATTCTAGCCACTCTTGATATGAATACTATAGGGTGTAAGTGGGTATTGAAGATTTAAGGCAAGATTAGTGTCTAAAGGATTTCAGCAGACCCCTGTTATAGATTACTTGAAACCTTTAGCCCTGTATTGAAATCACCAACCATTAGAGTGACTATGAGTCTAGCAGTGAACTATGGTTGGGACACCCAGCAGGTGGATGTTAATAATGCCTTTTTAACTGGTGAGCTTACTGAAAAAGTGTATATGGTTCAGCTCGAAGGCTTTGTAAGTTCTCAACATCCTCCTCATGTTTGTAAGTTGATCAAGGCTCTTTATGGCCTCAAACAAGCACCAAGGGCCTAGTTTGACAAATTAAAGAAAGCATTTCTTGCCTGGGGGTTTATTCATTCAGTGGCAAATCCTAGTTTGTTTATTTACAAACATCAAGGGAAGGTAATGTATGTATTGGTGTATGTAGATGACATTCTCTTAACTGGAGATGATTCTAACTTGGTGCAAGAAACAGTTCAAAAGCTCAATACTCAGTTTGCCTTGAAAACCTTGGGATCTTTAAAATATTTCCTTGGTTTTGAGTTTTCAAGAAGTGAATCTGGTCTACATATGAACCAAGAAAAATATCCCAATGATTTGATGATTAAAACAAACATGATGGATTGTAAATCCTGCCCTACACTAATGGTTGTTGGTACCAAACTCACACTTGGGGCTAGTGGCCTTATGACAATCCTGCCCTCTATAGAAGCACCATTGGAGCACTTCAATACTTAACTCTGTCTTGGTTAGACATCTCCTACTCTGTCAACAAGTTAAGTTAATTTTTGAAGGCTCATTCCCAACTTCACTGGCAAGCTTGTAAACGACTATTGAGGTACATCAAGGGTACTACCAACTTCGGTGTTGCCAACTAACTATAAACTACAATAGAAAAAGATTACATCCAAAATACGTAAGTGGGTTTAGTAATATTATCCAAAAATAGTGTATAATACATTAATACTATAAACTAAAGGTTTGGAAGGTTTGTTTCAAATCGCGGTGGGTTGGTAGTTTTTTAGTACAACTTCTTGAATCACAACTCTTTATTGAATGTTATGTATATATTTGACTGCAATATAATTTTTCCTTTTTTAAGGAAATAAATATACAGTTTTGATAAATCTCCATGTGCATCACACATCTCATCAATATATGATATTTCCTGCATTTGTATACATAGGAAAAGACTTGGACATCATCATCATCTAGCTGGACTCTTAAAATAATTGTCTCCAAGTTTTCAAAAGTACATATGATGTATCCATTTATGTAAACCATTTATTATAATTAACAATTAATGTAATATTATTGACTCACCATAATACCTCATGCATTTCTATTATTGACTCACATTTGGAATAGAAATAGAAGTACAATCAAATAATTCAAACAAAGTAATTAACTTTCAATGTACCTGTTTGTTTTCTATATTGAAATGTTTCATGAGCGCCAGACTCCTTGCCAGAGCTTTTCACTTCCACAATTTCCAATTCTTTTAAGGGTTTTGAAGAGCTGATAAAGGGTGTCTCTTTGTGATTGATTTTCTGGTCCAAATAATATCTCGTCTATGGCGCCAAATTAACTTACGGGTTCTTTGGGAAGTTGAAGTCTACCTAGCAAGGTTCTGAAACCTGACCCGGGGTGTCACTCAACCAAGGAGTTGAGTCCCAGTTTACCTAGTTCGACTGGTAAACCCGATTGTTGGTGGTCTAGCAAGTTTGAAATCTTGCAAACAAACCCCTGAAAAATATTAGCAGTCTTTTAGGTTTGAAATATAACAAATACACCCTACGATCTGACCCTAAATTGATTTTTCTGACCAAATTCTGGTGATTCTGCTGGCCAAATTCAATCCGACACCAACACCTGAACCACCATCCTCACTCTACAAAATCCTCTAACTCAGAACTTAGTAGACCCCGTTTGTCAGTTGTGACTCAAGAACACCGCAACATTGAGTTGATTTTTCCGACACAATTTCAGCTGATTTCGGCACCAAAATCAATTCGATACCACCCCTTGACACAAGTGATTTGCACATATCTCAAAGAATATTAGAAATGATTTAATAAAAATTAAAGAAAATCTTTTTATTATTTTAGTTGGTTTTTTTTTTTTTTTGGGAAAAAGCAGAAGCTATATAAGTAAAATAAATTAGATTTTTTTTTTTTTTATGTATATTCATTAATATTCAAGTATTTTGTATCTATGGAATGTGAAAATTTCCTTTAATCGATGTTCATAATGGTTCTTCTTTTGGGTCATAATTATAAATCTCCATGTTTGTTAAAGACTTGGGAAGTGTAGCATGTAGCATTTGGTATTATGACTTATGAGTACGTTCCTGAGAAGAAATCTTTACAAATTAGTAAAGTTGAGAGATTAAAAACCCAAATTGTTCAAGATAATCTTATATAGTGTGGACATCATTTTTTGGGTTCATCACGAAAAGAATGTGATAGATATATGGGTCTCAACATTTGACTATGTTTTGGATTGTTAAGGGTCACGTTCTTAAATTATGACAAAGAATATCAACTGAAAACCACATTAACTAATAAATTATATAATTTCAGAAAATTTTCTCTTCTATCTTTACGCTAACATTCATGTATTGAATCGGATAAGATACAAACATACCATAATTGTCAGTTGTACAACCAATAAATATCAACAAACTAAGACACAACGGCTTTTGTGTTGTTTTCATTTGAAGATATTACCAAAACTGTAAAGATATATATGAATGGTCAGATAAAAATTGGTAAGCTCTTCATTTGATCCCCCAAAATGTGGTCAAATTAGTCAATTTCCCTCAGAAGATGACAGTAGTAATCTGATCATCTCTTCAGCCTTAATCGGGAGCTTACCCAGATGTGAAATGGTCAATGAGGTTTCTGCACCGCAGATAAACCCACCTTAAACTTGAAACATTTTTTATATGGATTAATTTAACATAATCCAAGTTCTAGAAAACAATGATTGGGATGAGAGAAATCCAATTGAGAACAAACTTTGTATAATATGAACCACAACTTTAGATTTTAAGAGAGAGAAAAAAAGATCCATAAAATCTTTACCCCACAACTCCCTGCCTTACAAAATCACCCCAAAAGATCCCAACATAACTTCATAACTACATAATTCTAATTTGATCACTCACTTCAAATTAGACATGGCTGCTCTTCCTTCAATAAGCCATCACTCTCCTTCATCTTCTTTATATCCTAATTACCAATCTTCACCATTGATATTTGCTTCAAAATCTAATCAAGACTCTGTGTGTTTCTTGGCAGTAAGATCAGTTACATATACTTCAAGGAGAAGATTGTCTTCACACACTGTTCCAAGGGGCCTCAAGATCCAAAGTGCAGCTACAAAACCTGCAAAATCACCAGGTAATATTTTAAATAAGATTTCTGATTTCCATTTTTGAGATAAAAGATTGATTTCTGATGCAGAAAACTAGTGAATTTATGTATAGTATGCTTATAGTCTAGCTTAACCCTGACTTGGTTTTTGTATTGTCTTCTTTGGAGGGATTAGCTGAAGAAGATTGGAAGACTAAGAGGGAGTTTCTTCTACAAAAAAGGGTATAGCTCTCTTTACGTAACATATATATCCTGTTTGCAGACATGAATTTAAATCAAATATTGCATGCAAAGATTATAATACGCCTGTGCGTGCACACACCATCTCAGTGCATTTTGTGCTGCTTCAATGAGAACGTTGACCATCTTTGGAAAGAGTAGAGAATTTAAAGAAACAAAGAATAAGAATGAGAGAATTGATAATGAAAGAGTGAAAAGAATGAGATAAGTCAAACATAGAGTGAATATCGTTTAGGAAAGGAAAAGAAAAAAGAAAGTGGGTCATTGAAGCTGATTCTTAGTTAAATTGCACACGCTCACATAAGCACATAATATTGATATACAATGGAGTGAGTATTCATATACAGGAAACAATCTCCGTTACAATTTTGAGCTATCTTGGAAGCTGTTCGAGATCCACATTTTTTAACCTAATCACTAATTAGATATATAAACAGTAGCGTAATCTAATACTGCCAGTGTTTTTAATACATTTTAGAGGTAAGTATTGAAAAATCACTATCTCGGTGCATTTTGTGCTGCTTCAGTGAAAACACTTGGCTTTGTTTAGAAAGAGTATGAGAATTTAAAGCAACAAAGAATAAGAATGAACGAGTGAAAATAATGAGAATGAGTTAAAGTCATACATAGAGCAAATATGGTCAAGTAAAGGAAAAAAAAAAAAAAAAAAAGCAGATCATTGATGCTGATGCTTAGTTAAACTGCACCATTAGATAAAAGCTGCTGATAATTTTCTTCTCTGCAGGTAAGGAGTGTTGATGTGAAGGAGGCTTTGCGCCTACAGAAAGAAAATAACTTTGTGATTCTTGATGTACGACCTGAAGCGGAATTTAAAGAGGTAAGTCTGCCCAAAACAAGCAACAGAGAACTCAAATGAACATAATGCATTCCAGAATTTTCGGTTTCTCCCAGTAACTTTATTATTCATCACAAAGAATAACCAAGGAATGATATTTTAAGTTATCTTTGATGATACAGGCTCATCCTCCAGGTGCTATCAATGTGCAAATATATAGGCTTATAAAGGAGTGGACAGCATGGGACATTGCTAGGCGTGCTGCATTTGCGTTTTTCGGCATCTTTGCTGGCACAGAAGAGAACCCAGAGTTTTTGCAGAGTATAATAGAATCCGAATTATATTTCTATTTTTTTGACAACATTCATGTGTGTTTTTAACTAATCCTTCAGTGTCTGCTCGCAGGTGTGGAATCAAAACTAGGTAAAGATGCAAAGATAATAGTGGCATGCTCAGCCGGGGGCACAATGAAGCCATCACAAAGTCTCCCTGAAGGCCAACAATCAAGGTTTATGTCTCTCTCACCGTATAAAATTATCTTATTGAAACATAACCAATCAGTATAGATTCCGGCATTAATAAATTGTGACTTTAAGACTAGTACAGGTTTTGTACACTGGAATACGTTATCACTAACTTTGGTTAACACTGCAGATCACTGATAGCTGCCTACTTGCTAGTCCTCAATGGTTACACAAATGTCTTCCACTTAGAAGGGGGGCTTTACACTTGGTTCAAAGAGGGATTACCGGCAGCTTCAGAAGAGTGAAGTAGCAGTACTTTTAAAGCTGTTGCTTCCAGAGAAGCTCAAGTTTTGCCCTTAACGCTGATTGTAATGTAATGTACTTGTGTGACGACTGACACCACCTTTATCCATCGATTGAGAATGTTAATTGTATCAAGACTCAGTTTTTATCATATCATAAGGCAATGTACTGTTTTTCACATTTGAGTTTAAGATTTGTATATATTGATTTTGAAGCACCGAAAGAAAGCATTTGCTTAATTACCCAGCAAATATCATAAATGTAGCATCAAATGATGTGTTTGATATTGGATTTACAAATCATATTCACAATCTGTGAAATATAAAAATATCTTGCCATGTTTTTATTGTTTTCATTTCTCAAGTCTTGTTTTCAGAAAATTTACCAGACATGATCTCAAACGTCTTGAAAAACAAATTCAATTTCATTTAAAATTTTGAAATGCGATAACATACCCATATTCTGTAAACAAATTTGTAGCCCTCAACAACATAAAATGTAAGATCGACTTGAAAATATCAGGAAAACTTGTATATGTTGCACCCAAAAAAAAGACCAGCTTTTTCCAGTCTGTTATTGGTCTTACAGGATAATTGTTAGAAGGTATTCAATCCCAAATAGCAAGCAAAGGAGAGCTTTTCCAGTCTGTTATGTTATCATGCTAGGATGGTTAGTTTCATAACCACATAATTGTTCATTATAATAACTAGGTATCTTTTAAGTTTGCATCACTTCAGAATTTGTAGCCAGGAATTGGTGGGATTTATTTCATTACAGAACAAGTGATTTTTCTCCTTGAGTGAAGGGCATTCAATTATTGAGTTTGAGAGCACAAGAATATTAAAATAGCATAAAGAGATAGGGTATTTCATGAGCTAATAGATGGTGCAGGTGAATATTCAATCCCCCCAAATTGGCCAGAGACTTTGAAATCCATTATAACACCTTACTAACAAAGTAGCAAGACAAAAGTAAAAGAAGAGCACATATTAATAGGCACATTAAAAATAGAATTTCCAGGAGCACCAACAAGTACAACGATACCAGAGAAAACACAGATAATTATTGTTCCAATGGATCATTAACATCTGGTACCCAAAAAAAAATCAAATCAAATAAAGGATCCTCCACAATGGTATACAATTATCTCCATGTCCCAGACAACTAAGAAAAGATAAAAACAAAGGAACACTGAACAATCAAGAAGAGGAATGGAATGTGATCATGGCATTCTGGGGGAGAAACCAAGAGTCAGATAGTCTTACAAATGCGGGATAATGTTGCAATGATAAGTCATGATATCAAATATCAAAAGAGAGACCATTAATAAGCCCAGGGAAATAGCAACCAGAATTCTCCCCCCAATCCCAACTGAGCCATGAAAATAACAGGAAATATGAGAAATCAAAACCGACCAAGCAAGTATACAAGCCACTGTATGAACCACAATCCTCGTTCCAGCAATTTGCATCCTCAACTTTCAAGATTTACAAGGTTTTATGAAGCAGTTAATATTCTATTCTCTTCTCACAAGGATGAAATGCCGATTTCATGCGCAAAAATTAATTAGGAAGTTTCTAGAAGCCGGTAAATTGTAATTTCCTGCTGCTTAAAATACCGACGGTCCTCTTCATCAACTAGAACAAGGTTCAAGTAATACTTCACACTGAATTTGTTGTTAATATTGCGATGAGTTGGTGTCAACTCATAAGGGCTAAGAAACAGTCTGAT